CTGCCCCACAACATCCCAGAATTTCCTGCACCTCATATGGCCCTGTCTCCTGCAGCTCAGAGCTGCCTGCTCTTCCTGGGGGTTCCCCCTCTCCCACCACCTGCTCATGTCCATCCCCCAGGCAAAGGAAGTGGGGCAGGACTGCAGCCCATCCCCACCTGGCCCCAGCAGCTGCCCCAGCAGCTGGGCTCTGGCATCTCCCCCTTGGCTATGCTTTGCGGGGGCCCACGCCTGCACAAATGTCATTCCCGTGGGCACAAGGGGCCTTTGTGCGAGCAGAGCTGGGGTGTGGAGGCCCAGCCCAGCATCTTAAGCTGTGGCTGGGGAGAGCCATAGCTGAGGGCTCGTGGGTGGGCAGCAGCTGACTCCAGCATGGCCCCACAGCTCCCACCCAGGCACAGCCATCTCCCCAGTACTGCAAGGGATATCAGGGAGGAAAGCCCTCTCCTCATCCTTGTCCCTCTGTCACCAGCAACATCCTGCAGACACTGCTGGCTCAGGAAGCAGCACCAACACCAGTACAGAGCTGGCATCACCACACTAGTAAACTTCAGCACCTGTGCCAAAGGATGCTAAGGTCTTGGCCCCCCAACAAGGGGAGCAGGAGGGCTGGGACTTGGGACAGGGGCCAGGAGCACCAGCCAGCAGCTGCTGGATTCAGCCTTTTTCAACAGCTGTTGTCTCAGCGCCAGCAGGAGGGAACGTGCATGGGCTGGGGCTTTCCAAGGCCTGGCCACAGTGCATTAAACAACCTATTTATAGCACTTGTATCCTCCTCAGTAGGAATGGCCTGTGCTCCTCCTGCACGGGGCTGGGTGCTTGGGTGCCATCACTGTCCCCACCACCAGCACCCTCTAGGATCCCTGCCAGAAGGGTGACGTTTCCTAAGACAAAATACTCATGGTCTTCCTAACTCATCTTCCTCCCCTGCCATTTCTGAGAGCTCCCAGTGCTACCCAGAACAAAATTTTCAGTAAATCTCATATCTCTTTGAAAATGCTCTTCTTCCCAGGATCCCTGCTGGATTGTATGGAGATTTTATCATACAACAGCCTATTTAGGCATTGGCAGGTGCCAATGGTTGCTCTGTCCCCTGTGCCTGCCTCTGAGATGGCATGAGGGTCTTGCCCTCCCACGGAGCAGAGATGCTGTTCCGGGAGCAGGCTGAGTGCTGGTAAGGCCGGTGCCAGATTTGCCTGTTGTGTGATGGGGCACGGCTCTGCTCAGAAGACATTCCCTCCACAGAAGGGTGGCAGCAACCAAGAGGAGCTGTATCAGGAGGTAGCACAGCCATCTCCTGCCCAGAGGCTGGCATGTCACACACCCATGACCAGCTGTGCCTCCTCTGAGGTGGCCTCTCCCAGGGGCGTTGGAGGTTCTGGCTGGTTCCAACCCCAGGATCTGCCCAGAGGATGTGGGGGGCTGTGAGCTCACCCGTGCTCAGCAGCAAGAAGGAAGGGGCTGGGCTTTGGACAAGCTGAATTCTCAGGGCTTTGGGATGGCAGGGAGGAGAAGAAAAGAGGACAGTTCTGCACGGTCCTGCCACCACCCTGCGTATAGACCCCTGTGGGGGCTGCTTCCAGCCCTGCTATCTCACCATCACTGCTCCACTCACTGGCTTACCAGAAGCCCACATCATCCTCGTGCTGCCTGGGGGCATCTCCTGCTCCTTGTTTGCTGATGTTCAGCTGATAACTGATCATCTGAGAGAAATAAGTACTGTGGAGGGGTATACAGTCCCTGTTTAGGCTCAAGAACTGGATCTCAGCCATTCCCATCAATTAATAGGTGATACGTGGTTGTGCAGTTGATACAATAGAGAAAACGGATGCCTGAAAGGAAGGGGTCTTGATACATACCCAGCAAAACATAAGCCAACAATGTGGTGAGGTATTTTAAGTCTCCTGGTAGAGAGGGATGAAACATAGACAAGTAAAAATTATTGAGACAAAGCAGTGATTGCAGGATCAGAAAGTCCTCCATGGATCAGAGAAGTTACAGCAATGATCTATGAGACTTGGCCTAGGAAACATATGGGCAGGATTCTGCTGCCCTAAAACTTGCATTTTGAAGTAGATATTGGTGTGATTTTGTTTTCTTTCAAGATTGCATTCTCTTCCCAGATCTGGGCATTACTCAACAGAGGAACAAGTTTACATCCATTCATCTCCCTGGGCTTTACTTTTGCCCAGTTGGAGGCTAAAGACCCTGACCTTCCAGATGGGGAAAGCAACTCGGCAAGATCTCTGCATTTTTGGCAAGAGACAAAAATCTGCCTTTCTGTGAGTCCCAAGAGCTTGGCAATTAAGCCCTGCCACACCCTCTTCCCAGTGCTGGGATGTTGCAAGCATCTGGCTCTCAAAGCAGGGTGAGAGCCTCCTTCACTCCCTCCCTGGGAAGGAACAGGTTTCTGCAGAGGTCACACACTACAGCCCCTTTGTTCCCAAAGAATTTTCCATCCACTCCCTTGTGTATCTCGGCAACATTACACTCAGATACAATGTAACACTCAGAAGCAATGCTCCCTGGAATGTGCTGCAGCGTCTCTGCACCTCCCTTTCCCTGTGGGACTGGAGGACAGGATTCCCCCAGTAGGGATGGCAGGATGATCAGGCAGGGTTTTTCCTAGGAAAAGGCTCCCTGAGGAATAAGATGTTCACTCTTCTCCATTACTGTCATCACTGACACTGACCTGGGATGCTGCATTTTCATTCCAGCAGTCCCCAGCCTGCTCAGAGGTAGAATGCTGTAAGTGCCTTCTGCACAAGGAGAGGATATTCCCAGTGGAGCTGTACTGCTGGGGAAATTGAGGCTCTAAGCAAGGCTTGTGTGGGATCAGCTGCAGCACAGTGAACCCAGGAGTCTCAAGAACAGTCTCAACACTGGACCTCCCTGATTGAAGGGGAGATGCTTCCTCCTAGGGAAAACATAAACCCTGAGATAGCTGCAGCAAAGCTTTGCTCCGTCTTCCTTCATCTGAGCTCTTCCTGCTCCCAGCAAGGCTGCCAGCACGGAGCTGGCAGCAGTGCACAGCAGAGCCCCGCGCCTGCCCCGCAGCCTCTGACCACAGCAGACCTGAGCTCGGGAGCCTCCAGGAGGCCAGTCCCAAGGGGCTGACATCAAGCACCATCCTTGAAGCTCCAAGGCCATCAGGGAGCTGTCTCTGCTTTCAGCACATGGTGTCCCTGTGCTGAGGCATGGCCAGCCTGCTTTCCTCATCCATGGCTGGCTCCCTGGGAAGAATCCATGAGGGTGGAAAAGGTCACCCTGGCTGGACTAACCACCTTTGGATGGGACTTAGTGGGCAAGGGACAGCTTACAGCAGGCAGGCAGGGAAATGGAGCAGTAGCTTTTGGTCCCTTGGATCTGTTCATTCTCCTAAATTCTTCTTGAGCAAGAGCCAAAAGTAGGGCCTTGGCAGGGTTTTGGAAGGGAACAAGGGGAGGAAATGAAGACAGACATCCACCAAGAACAAAACAAAGGTTCGGCACAGGAGGGAAGCGGAAGGGCACAGACGTGACCACGGATCTTCCTGCCTGTACCCTCACTCTGGCTAGCTTGTGCTCCCCTGGTTGCTTGCCCCAAGCTAACTCAGCTTGGGAACATCGGAGCACAGCTGAAAAATGCAGGACGCTCCTTACCATCCTGCTCTTGAGCCATTCATGGAGCCAAATCAAAGCTCTTTCTCAGGGGAGTACCCAACTGTTCCTCAGTGTATTACACCTTGGGCCATCCCTTGCCCGCTCTCCTTGTTGGCTCACCTGGTCTGCATTCCTGGCCCTTATGGGAGCAGGGTGACAATTGCTGGCACTGCCAGGGAATGACAGACAAGTTTGGACTCAGCTGCCTGCTCAAGGGCTATGGCAAAGCCTTGTGCTAAAACAAAACTCCACCCTGCCAGCCCACATTTCTGTGGTGGAGAGATGTTGATCCTCCCTTGCCCCCCTTCTCTCCTCTACGCTGCCACCCCGACAAATCGGGCCTCGGCTGCGAAGCAGTATCACTTTCAGGGAGTGTGTGTCGGGTCTGGGAGGAGGGGGCATTTAAATGAACAGCTGGGGTTTTTTTTGTTGTCCCTTGCTCTGGAGCTGTTCCTGCCATTTGCGCTGGTGGCAGGCTCACACTGGGGAAGCTGAGCGGTCCAGGCCACTTCGGGAAAGAGAAAGAGTGAAAGGGAAAGAGCTGAGTGGTGTCCCGGAGCAGGAAGGATCCCAAAGAGGGTAAGAGTGAGTCGGGAAAGAGGCGGGAAGGAGCCCCTTCCAGTGCTTCGTCGAGCCTGCCCCAAGCAGCCCCCCGCTCTCAGGAGGGTGCGGACACCCCGACATCCCGCTTAGCTCAGACGTTCCAAAGCGTGAGGAGCTGCCGAGCACCCCCGCTACTGCAGGCCAGCCGGG